TCTTTGCGGCGGGGGTGGAGGTGGACCGGATCACTGCTGAGGCAGTGCCATGGTCGGACCACCTGGCCCTGAAGGCCCGTCTGAATATTCCACCTCAACCCTGTTTGGGCGGTGAGCAGATTTTTGCTCGCCCGCGAAGCCTAATGGACCTGGTGCTGTTCCAGATGGCTCTGCGGGATCCGAGGCCCCCTGGTGGCTCGTTGGATGAGCTAGTGGAGGACTGGCATGTCTGACTCTCCACGGCCATCGACGAGACCGCTCCCAGGCGTCCTCTCCGCACTCGTGCTAGGCGCGCACCTTGGTACACCCAGGAGTTGCAGCAGCTGAAACGAGAACTGAGATGGCTAGAGAGACGGTGGCGTCGCACTCGCGACAAGGCTACAAGAGCATCCTATAGGACGTTTTTGAGATCCTATGAGATGGCAGTTAAGGCCGCTAAGAAGGATTTCTATGCGGCTGAGATTGCAACTGCAAGCTCACGCCCGGCCCAATTATTTAGGACAATTCAGACTTTGACAGACCTGCCACAGGGCAGGCGAAACGTTAGGGAATTGGATATTGGCTGTGAGGCTTTTGCGAGCTTTTTCACAGATAAAGTCTTGGCGCTTCGCCACGACCTCCCCGCCACAACTGAGACAGTGAGCGAACTTGAGGCCCCTTGCATGTCTTCGGTACCGGGTTTAGAGTGTTTCAGTCCGCTCAGTCTGGACGAAGTTGACAGACTGCTCGTATCTGTACACCCAACCACATGTGCCCTTGATCCGTGCCCCTCCTGGCTCATTAAAGTGGGACACGAGGGGCTACGAGGCACACTGCGGAAGATTATCAACAAATCCCTCTTGGAGGGACAGTTTCCGAGTGCGCTCAAAGAGGCGATGATCCGCCCTCTCTTAAAAAAACCATCTTTGGACCCAGCCGAATTGGCTATCGGCCGGTGTCCAATTTGCCCTATTTGGGCAAACTTATTGAGAGGGCGGTGGCGTTGCAGCTACAGAGCTTTCTGGAGGACGCTTCAGTCTTAGATCCCTTCCAGTTCGGTTTTCGCCCTGGCCATGGGACTGAGACGGCTTTGGTCGCCCTGACTGACGATCTCCAAAGGCATCTGGATCGAGGAGGTGTGGCGGCACTGCTGTTGTTAGATCTGTCGGCCGCGTTCGATACGGTCGACCATCAGCTGCTGTCCCACTGCGTCGACGTGGGGATTCAAGGGCTTGCCCTTCAATGGTTTGCCTCTTTCCTACAGGTCGGGGACAAAGGGTGGCGGTCGGGGACCAGCGATCCCATAGGTACCCCCTTGATTGTGGGGTGCCGCAGGGTGTGGTGTTGTCCCCGATGCTATTTAACATCTATATGCACCCCCTTGCCCAGATTGCCCGGAGTTATGGGCTTGGGTGTCATCAATATGCAGATGACACCCAGCTCTATCTGATGCTGGGCGGCCGGTCGGGCTCGAGTCCCGATGACCTTTATCGGGCGCTGGAGGCCGTGGCTGGTTGGCTCCGGATGAGCCAATTGAAACTAAACCCGGCGAAGACAGAGGTCCTGGGCCTGAGTCGGACCGGTGTGGGGTTAGGGCTCCCTCTCCTGACCTTCAACGGGGCGCCTTTGGTCCCAGTGTCTAGGGTTAGGAGCTTGGGGGTGCTCCTGGACTCCTTTCTAACAATGGAGACCCAGGTGGCAGCCACTGTCAAATCAGCCTTCTATCATCTTCGGTTGGCGCAGCAGTTGGTCCCCTACCTTGACCGAGAAGACCTAGCCACAGTGATCCACGCGACGGTCACCTCAAGGCTAGACTACTGCAACGCTCTCTACATGGGGCTGCCTTTGTCGCAGATCCGAAAGCTGCAGCTGGTGCAGAATGCTGCAGCCAGGCTGCTGATGGGACTTTCTCGGAGGGACCATATCCAGCCTGTGCTGAAAGCGATGCACTGGCTGCTGACAGTGTACCGGATCCGCTTCAAAGTGCTGGTTCTTACCTATAAAGCCCTTTATGGCCAGGGTCCAATCTACCTGATGGACTGCCTTGCCCCACATGTTCCCCCAAGAGCACTACGGTCCGGGGCCCAAAATTTTTTAGTCATCCCGGGGCCCAAGGAAGTTAAACTAGCTGCGACCAGGGCCAGGGCTTTTTCGGTGGTGGCTCCTACCTGGTGGAATGAGCTCCCAGGGGAGATCCAGGCCCTGCGGGACCTTATGCAGTTCCGCAGGGTCTGCAAGATGGAGCTCTTCCGCCAGGCCTTTGAGTAGGAGCCGCCGTCCCATTATACCACCACCGTTAAGGTATGTCAAAGGATGCATCAACGAGGCCCAAGGAAGACGTTGGAAATTGTAGAAGAGCTTTGGCCATCTTCACTGGACACATACTTTTTGGGAGTACCATCTGTACCTTTGGAGTTACCATCTTGGACTTAGGACATCAGTTACGAATTGAGCACAGTGGTTTTAATGTTGAATGTTTATTATGTTTTTATATGTTTTTACTCTGGCATGGCTGTGTCCTGCCCTTGTTAGCCGCCCTGAGCCCACCTGGGGAGGGCGGGATATAAATATGAAAAATAAATAAATAAATAAATAAATAAAAGAGAGACATGGGGAGGAATGCGACCGAGAAGGGAGCAAAGGCAAGGGAGGATACGGTATATTGGGGGGGGGGAAGAGCCATCCTGCTCAGGCGGAAGCATCAAATGAGTATGGGAGGTCGGTATGCACTTCTGAGCAATGAGGAGTAAGAAGAAGAGATTGGATTTATACCCCGCCCTTCACTTTTCAAAGGTGTCTCAGAGCGGCTTACAAACTCCTTTCCCTTCCCCTCCCCACAACAGACACCCTGTGAGGTGGGTGGGGCTGAGAGAGCTCTGACAGAAGCTGCTCTTTTTCAAGGACAGCTCTTATCAGAGCTACGGCTTGCCCAAGGTCATCCAACCAGGTGCAAGTGGAGGAGTGGGGAATCAAACCCAGTTCTCCAAGATTAGAGTCCGTGCACTTAACCACGACACCAAACTGGAGTAAATGAGGACTTGAGCATGGAGGGGGAACAAAAGGGCCAGGAAATGGCACACAGACCAAGCAGGGTTTAGGGACAGGCCAAGCACAGCGAGCAAGAAGGCAAGTTTGCCTGAAACGGCAGACTTATTATCAAGCTCTTCCTCCTCCCGTTGACTTCAGATTGCCTTGGGAGCCCAAGAAGGCAGGGAAGAGGCCTTGGGTGAGAAGGCAGGCCAAGGCAAGACTGAGCAAGCCCACGGCCAGGATTCTGTGGCTTGTGGGGCGGAAGTTCTCAATACAGAAAGAAAAGCCACTGAGCCAACAGAAAGCCGTTACCAGGATAGATCTCTCAATTGCAAGCTGTCAGAGGACCGTTCTCACCTGCTGCAAGTTGCCAGGGATGCATCTGCAAATTTGAGAATCTTTCCCAGCTCCTTCATGACTGCCCCTCCCAGTCTCAATCTCCTTTGGATTTCTTGGGCGCACTCTCCCTTTGGGTCAATGATGGAGCCAAGGAACAGGGAATCTTCCACAATTTTAATTTCCTCACTGCCAACCTTCAAGTCGTGTAATTCCTCAGCAGTGTTCCCTCTAAGCCGAGTTAGTGCGAGCTAGCTCCCAGTTTTTTTAGCCTCTGGCTCACACATCTTTGTCTTCGCTCAGGGAGGACGGCTCCAGAGCAAACTAATTTAAGCAGTAGCCAAATCCCTCATTCACAACTTGTCACTCGCTCACAGAGCCAGTTCGGTGTAGTGGTTAGGTGTGCGGACTCTAGTCTGGGAGAACCAGGTTTGATTCCCCACTCCTCTACTTGCACCTGGCTGGATGACCTTGGGCAAGCCATAGTTCTGACAAGAGCTGTTCTTGAAAAAGAGCAGTTTCTGTCAGGGCTCTCTCAGCCCCACCCACCTCACAGGGTGTCTGTTGTGGGGAGGGGAAGGGAAAGGAGTTTGTAAACCGCTCTGAGACACCTTTGGGTTGTGAAGGGCGGGGTATAAATCCAATCTCTTCTCTTCTTCTTCTAATGCCAGTCGCTCACACAAAGTACCCTTCCTGCAAGTTCATTAAACTCCGGATGACCCTCAGCTGCAAAACCTCGGGTTGCCAACTCCAGTTTGGGAACTTCCTGGAGATTTGGGGTAGCACCTGGGGAGGGCAGCCAGGATGGGATGCCAGAGATTTAGGGATGCCAGCCTCCAGGTGAGACCTGGGGATCCCCTGGAATTACATCTTATCTCCAGGCTACAGAGATCAGGTCCCCTGGAGAAAACGGATGCTTTGGACTCCGGCACTGTCCCCCACCGAGGTCCCTCTCCTCCCCAGGCTCCGTCCCTGAATCTCCATCCGTTCCCAGCCTGGATCTGGCAACCCGACCCCCTCCATCCCCCGCCAGTGGGGACCTGGCAAACCTACAGAGCCCACTCCCCAAAGCTGCCATTTCTCCAGGGGTTTGGAAATCCGCTGCAATCCCGGGAGAACTCCAGGACCCCCCTGGTGGGTATCAACGCCAGAGGATTCCGACGTCTGGCTGCGCAGCCGCTTCCACCCCACCCCACCCCATCCAGCCCGACCTCCGCTCCCTCCTTTCCGGCCAGGGTCGGCGAGTCGGCGCCCTTTGCCACGTGTGCGCCGCTTTCGTTTTCACACGTGCAGGCGGCGGCGGCGGCGGCCAGTAACCTCGGGCATGGGCTCAGCTCGCCTTCCGGCTCCCGAGCAACCTCTCCGCAGTCCGGGGAGGGGGGGAGGCCGGCGGCTGCTTCCTCCCCGCTCGAGCACGTCTGCAGCGGAGCTCCCCGGGAGCCCCCTCCCGCCCCCTACCCCGCACGTCGGATTCCCGCTCCACGCCGCGGGCAACGCCGTGCGAGCGCCGACAGCCGACGGGTGGGGCCGGGCTCGGAGCTCCGCTTGCCACACCGGCTCCTCTGTCGAGCCACGCGGGCTTTTGCTTTCGGGGCGGGCGCCGCCGAGATGGGCTCCGCAGCGCCCAAGCGAGGAGGACACGCGGCGGGGCTTACCGTGAGCGGGGCCGCTCGCTCCACGGGGCTGTCCGGACCGCTTTCCCGGGAGCTGGCGGAGCGGGCGAGGCGGGAGGCAAGCGAGAGCGGCTCCGACGCGTGCAGCGGCGCTTTCCTGACTTAGCAGCGCCGCCCCGCTTTGCAACAGACCGGATGTTTCTTGCCGCTCCCGTGGCGGCCCGCCGGCGAGGAGAGGGAGCCGCCGGAGCGGCGGGGAGGGGCCGGGGAAGAAAAAGACCGCTTCCTCGCGAGCCGGACAGAATCGGGCAAGCCACCTGTTCTAGCCAGGGGAGGAGGGCGCCTGGGAGAGAGGGAACGCGCGCCCGCCCCTTGGCAAGATTGATCCCGCCCCCGCCCTCGCCCTCCCTGCCTGCCTTTAAATGACCGGATCAACACTTTGGTTTGCAGTGGATTTCAGCAAAACAAAATTCACATTAAAAATGAACTGTGTTTGCCCCCCCCCCTTTTACGGAGTTAAATATTTGTGCCAGTTGGGGGCGGGGGCCGAGCCTTGCCCCCTGAGATGTCCGAAGGCAAAAAAGTTGCTTCTTACCTGGGACGCCACCTGACTGGAGTTGCTGTCAGCAATGGGAACTCAGCAAGCAGAGCCAGCCAGGTCCTGCCGCAGAAGTAGCCAGTGCTTCATTATCCAGCCGCAATGCCTTCCCACCTCTGTTGCCTGCGAGCCTGTTGCGTGGGACTAGGAGGGATTATCTTCTGCTGACTGATGGGGCAAGAAAAGATAGGTGCCTTGCTTGAGGCCTTGCGCTTTGTCAGTGTCAGGGTAAGCATCCTGTTACTCTACTGATTAGGTGGCAGAGAAGCTGGGACAAATCAGGCTGCTATGCTGTCATGCACCATGAAAGTCTGGGGGGTGGGGAATCCCTGGTCATGATTGGCTGTGCTGCTCTGAGGTCACAGATTGGTTGTGGCCGCTATTGGCTGAGCTGGTCTGATAGGAAAGAGAAAGTGCGGGCTGAAAAACTTCATGCAGGGTTAAAAAGAAGAGGCGGTCTTCTTTGGGGATCCCATGACTGGGCAATACCAAAGTGCACTTGTTGCTTCGGAATAACTGGCCACGTCTTGGACTTCTAGGAATTTGGTGATGGTGAAACCATAGGATTAGATGGGCTGAACCAACCTTGTGTCAGGGAAATGGCATGCCAAGCAGTAGGAGGAGGTAGAAGGAAGCCCAGGCCTTGAAAAGGAGGTCTGAGAGGCTGAGGGAGTTGGAGGGTGGAGTGACCCAGATAAGAGGACGAGGAAAAGAGGAGATTGGATTTATACACCCTTCAATCAGAGTCTCAGAACAGCTTACAGTCTCCTTCCCAGGGGTGGTCATTTCCTGCAGGAGCGCACAGGAGCGGAGCTCCGGCAGTAAAGAGCCCAGCCCTCAGTCAGAGCAAGAAGCAGCCAGGTAAACTGCAGAGCTCCCCCCCCCTCGGTCCCCCGGTCCAAAACAGTCCAGTGGCACCTTTAAGACCAAGTTTTATTCAGGTACAAGCTATCCCTCCTCTGCGAGGACAGATTGGGTGACAGACACCCTGTGAGGTAGGTGGGGCTGAGAGAACTGCTCTTGAGAGAACAGCTCTGAGAGAACTGTGGTTGGCCCAAGGTCACCCAGCTGGCTGCATATGAAGAAGTGAGGAATGAAACCTGGTTCTCCAGATTAGGGTTGTGGTGTATTCAATGCAAGGCAAACTGTATGTGAATCACCCTATTGAAACACCATGTGAAGCTTCGTCCTGGGCTAGGATCCAAATCCCTCCAATCATATTGGTAGCCCAGGAAGAACCAGCCAATCAAGTACCAGCAAGCTCCCTGAGCGGGAACGTCCGTGATTGGTCTTTATGTAGACAACCTAATTGGTTGATATCTGTATAGTAGGCATGGCTACATTAGCCGGGAGTGTTTAAAAGCAGAACAGCTGCAATGTAAAAGCTGTTCTGGCTATTCATGTTGATCTGTTTGGAGTTGAGTTACGAGTTGCTGAATAAAGCTGATCTTACTCTCTGACTCTTTGTTAAGTAACCGACTTAACAAGGGTCTGCTAATCTTAACCACTACACCAAAAGAGAGAGAGAGAGAGAGAGAAGCCTGTGGGGTCTGTGAGGAAAAGACAAAGTAGGGGAGATATGAGGCCTGGAGCTAAAGAGGTGAGGAATACTGAAGCTCGCAGGGTGATTTGAACTGAATCAATTGAATGTTTGGCATTGACATGCACTCCGATGTTATGAAAACCCAAACAGAAATCCCTGTCTATAATATATTTAATATTCTGCATGCAATTGCTGACCACCTCTGGAGACCATTGGAAATAAATAGCTGTTGTTTCTGGCGGCTGGGCAGCTGGCTGGCTGTCGTGTGGGAAGTAAGATAAGGGACACTAACAGGAAAAAGTGACTCAGCAGGTACATCTTGCAGGCCCAGCTCCGAGGGAAGAGGCAGGGGACAGTGAGACTGGCCTCCCAAGCATGGAAACAAGATAACCAGGCATGTGTTGGGTTAAAATTAGGCCACAACTTTATTGGTTACACCTGAAAGAGTCTTTGCAGAGCATGAGGCAAATGGGCCCCAGGGCATGTGCCACCCCCCCACCCCCCCAGAGCTCACCTGCCGGGGATATTGTGGGATGGCAGTGGGTAGGATTCATCCCGGACAGAAGCCACTGTGTGGTCTCCCCGGCCATTTGAAGTGAGGGCTCCCTGACAAACCCTAAACTGGCATGTCCACTGTAAGCCCTCACCCCCAGATCCCTTAAGGCAGAGGTGTCGAACTCATTTGTTACCAGAGCCAGATCTGACTCAGCTAAGAGCTGAGTTGTAGGGGTTTGGTGCTGCAAACCCCCGATAACATTTTGAAATCTGTCCAATTACAGGGACATTTTGAGGCCATATGAAATGGGTATTAGAGAAGAAGAAGAAGAGAAGAGATTGGATTTATACCCCGCCCTTCACTACCCGAAGGAGTCTCAGAGTGGCTTACAAACTCCTTTCCCTTCCCCTCCCCACAACAGACACCCTGTGAGGTGGGTGGGGCTGAGAGAACTCTGACACAAACTGCTCTTTCAGGAACAGCTGTGCAAGAGCTTGTGACTGACCCAAGGTCACATCAGCAGGTGCAAGTGGAGGAGTGGGGAATCAAACCCGGTTCTCCCAGATTAGAGTCCGCACACTTAACCTCTACACCAAACTGGCGTAGAGCACATTCTAAGGTCAATATTAAGTCCTTCAACCCATTGGCTTATGACTCTGTCACTAAAATAGCCTTATTTTAATAACAAACACCTTTAACAACTCCCATCAAGTTGATTCAGGACCCCTCCATGATTAGGGGCCCTGAAGCTTAAGCTTAGAATCATAAAGTTGGAAGGGACCTCCAGGGTCATCTAGTTCCTGAATTTCACAATGCAGGAAATTCACAAATACCTCCCCCCCCACACACACACCCAGTGACCGCTGTTCCATGCCCAGAATATGACAAAAAACCTCCAGCCAAACTGGCCTGGAGAAGAATTGCTTCCTGACCCCAAAGTGGCGATCAGCATTCCCCTGGGCATGTAAGAAGGGCCACAAGAACTAAGCATTGATGCAGCCCTTCCTGCCCTCCCTCTCATGATCTGCCTAAGCTTCATTAGTTTCATAGTAGATTTGCCCCTGAGTAGGTGACGTGAAAGATCTCTCTACCTGTGCCCCCGGAGAGCTGCTGCCAGTCTGAGCAGACCAAAGGTCTGATCAGTATAAGGCAGCTTCATGCGTACTGAAGTATTTTTCTCCCAGCCTGGTTCATACACCAGCAGATGGTCTAGCTGGAGTCAGCTGACCACAGTAACATAAAGAAAGGTCCACTTTCTTTCCTTCTGCACAGTTTTTGAAACAGATGCCTGTCCCCCTCCCAGTCACGTGAGGATCCTGGATAAGGAGGGAAAATCCACAAGCCAGTTTTCTCACCCTCCCCCCAGCTTTTGCCGCAAATGAGAAGTTTAATTGTGGATACATTGGGGACACTTTCTCCTTTCTGTCTGAGGTTTGACATGGAGGATCCCCTTGGATGAGAAAGGTACCATGCCTGAAAAATTTCATATCCGCTGCTGGAGAGAGAACAAAAAAATCCCCTGTGTTGGAAATACCTCTTGCCTGTAATTGCTTCTAAACCAGGGAGATATTCCCCTGTCTATCTGACATCTGGTTTGCCATGTGGACTTGATGAGGCAGTGGGAAACCCCTGTGAATTTCATCCCAATAATAAAAAAGAAATCTTAAAGACAGAAGTGAATTTCCCATCTAAACCAGTGGAAACAAATACGTAAATGGGGCTAGTACTAATGACAAATAGCAGTGACAATGAAAGGAAAAAGAAATGTAGAAACACAAAGAGTGTAGTCCTGGGTACAGGGCTTGTCACTTTCTGGAAAGTCAGGAAAATAGAAATTGGTCAAGGAAAGTCGGGGGAAAGGGAAAATGTGATTAAGACATCCTTCTGAAACGCCACTGCAAGAGGACAGTCTGTATTTGGGGGGTGGGTGGGGAAGCACAGAAGTGACAGAATACAAGTGTAACAGAATGAGGCACCCATATCCCATAATTTGACTATTTATTTATTATTTTTTTATTTATTATTCAGATTTTTACCCTGCTTTCCCAGCCGAAGTTGGCTCAGGGTGGCTTACATAAAAACAGGTAATTGAATTGAAACATAAGTTATAGTTAAAACAAATTCTAAAATAATACTAAAGTGCTAGTTGTTAATATTTATACAATAGTAGCAGCCAATAATGTTAATTAGCTGATAGTTGTTAACAGTAAAAAAGAATAAAATGAACTTGTAAGAGACCATTATTTTATGGAGAAGCTAATGACTTCTTGCGGCTTTTTTGGGGGGGGGTATTTAAACAAATTGGAATCAGTTTCAATTGATTTGAAGAAGGGAATATTTTGATAGGTCAGTAAGTTGTGCATTATTTCTTCTAGCCAGCTCTAAAGTCCAGACATGTTACCACACTATTCTCAACAATAAATCTGAGATTGATTTAGAAATCAGACTTTACAAGACAGAACTGTGTTAGTAAAAGGAAAAGAAGAAAAAGAGAAGAGATTGGATTTATACCCCGTCCTTCACTACCCAAGGGAGTCTCAGAGCGGCTTACAAACTCCTTTCCCTTCCCCTCCCCACAACAGACTCCCTGGGATGTAGGTGGGG